AATGTTAAATATCAGTTTAACGTAGGCCTGACAGGCTTTTCTAATCCAAGTGTTTCTGGTCAGTTTTCTATCAGCAGCTGCGGGAAGTAGAGGTATATTGTTCATAGTAATGCAAGCTCGTGACAAATGTATTTGTCTAATCATTATCCGACTTCATCGTTTTTTATGGTGAATTTATCGCACAGATCTATAGATTGAGGGACATTTGGTCCAACATAACAGACTTGTTGTATGACTTTAAAGAGCAAGTCACCCCCTACAAGAAACTTACTTCACTCCCACTTCATGTTTGAAAAATGCAACAAATGCTGTTGCTTGGCAGTCCAAGAGGGCAGAGCCGCTAACAAACACACACACACACAGGCTCACAATGGCATTATGACATCATAATATACCAGATGACATCATAGCATACCTCTTAGCCAATAGCGGTGGCAGATTTAAATTCAAATACAGTGCAGAATTTTTCCCTGACGGCGGCGCAACACTGACAGTTTTAGGCAGAATATTTGAATTTTAACCAAAATGCACTGAAGTGCCAAATTATTGACTACACGTGTCTGTAGCATGATTAGACACTCCTTTATATAGTTTATCAGCAAAAAAAAAGTGATTTGGGGGTGGCTTGCTCTTTAAATAGTTTCAGAAAAGATTTTTCAAAATAAAATATTAACTGATAAGACTAAAAGAAAATGCAACTAATTTTAGCTGCAAGGGAGGGGAATCTGCACATCATGCAGCCTCTCAGACTCCCATCGCCTCCATCTTGTCCCTTTGTGTCTCTCGGCCACTTGGCCGACCGGCTCTCGCTCATCCTCCGCGTAACCTTCGCTGCAACATTACTGTTCCATTCGCTTTAATAAATCGTCATCATGTGGCTTTCCCATCCCCAAAGTCCCTTTCCCTGTAGTCTCTTCCCATCCCCCTTCCCTTCCGCCTCTCCCTTTTCCTTCTTCCCTGGACGGTGGCTTTAATGAACCCATAAATTGGAGCAACCCAGCAGTGGCTACAGGTCGGTGTTGGGGGAGGATGGCTGTAAGAGGAGGGGTGGGGATATGAGCCCGACAGAAAAGAGGAGACGGGTATAAAAAAGGAAAATGGGCAAAAAGGGAGAGCAGGATCAGGATTTATTCCTGCAAAGATGCGACTACAGTTGGTGAAGAGGAACAGGATAAACAGAGGAGGAGGTGCAGCGATGGAGGACAAAGAGAGAGGGCGAAAGGGCGAGGAGGCTCCGTAAATTGGTTTAGCAATTAATTTGCACCAGGTAAGGTATAGCCTTGGAACATGCCATCCTAGTCAGATGAGAGGTCCTGTGGAAGGGAGACTGATCACAATGGCAGCAGATGGTGGAAGGAGGCGAGGCTGCTGGTTGTTTAGGAGGGAGCAGGGGGAGCTGCAAGGAACGAGGACTGGTGTGCTATAGAATAACATGGAGTAAGTGAATATATGGCAGAGACAGATGAGGCCCAGACACACAAACACAAAGCTCAAGTGCACTGTGAAGCACAACCGACTACACGCTCACTGCAGAGGCCCCGGTGGAATGATGTCATCATTCGGTGAAAACACTCATCACTCTGCAGCATTTCTAATTACTCCGGTGGCGTTAGACTAATACATATCGGCAGCACTGAAATATTCATTAGCAGATAAGATTCTACTGCAAATGAAAAATTTAGGAGGTCATTTGAAATTCTTTTAAATCACAAACAAGCTTGCAAATGACTTTGTGGCGATAATATGACTGTTTATGCCTAATTCCTGCTGCATAAATGCATCTGTGTCAATAAACTGTAGATAGCATAACTTATGTGCTTGTTTTCCGACTCCGTAATCATTTCCCGTGAATAAATATTTATGTATTCTTTTCATTTAGTGACTCGAACGTGCAGTTTTGTACATTTTCACAGTACAGTTGACACCTGAAGCGAATGATCCCGAGAGGCAACAGGAAGGGAAGAGAAGGCAGGATGGGGTGGAGAGGAAAATGGGCCCTGCTGGCCGTGGTGCTCGATTTGCCATGCTGAAAAGCGTTAAAGCTGTATGGAGGCAAAACTGTGCTTAATACCATCAAAGCAAAAAACACAGGAAAAAAGGCAAATATATATATAAATAGCAAAAAAAGAAAAAGACCGTCTGAAACCAAACCATGCAAAATATCAAAAACCACTCACAGAAAATAAATATCCCATCAAAGTTAACTTTCAGAGTAAAGGAAAAGACTGCAGAGCCGAAACTGAAACTGAACTGATAAACAGAGAAAGAAGCTGCGAAGGTGTCTCGTAAAAAGGAATAACAATAAAAATGATCATACAGAAAAAACAAAAAGCAGAAAGCATTGTTTTGAAATGCCAAGCCCTATTGCTGTTACCTGAGCACGAAACACCAAATAAGAAAAGCATTTGAGCCATTGGCTGTTGTTATGCTGGAGAACTCCTCACCGCTCTGTGTGAGGCTCTACACCTGCTCAGGTAAAGGCAAGTTGGGGCGCGACTGCATGTTGTGATGTTGGCTGTAGGCATGCTGTCTGAAGTCTGCTACCATTGTGCTTGGATCTACCGACTGGGGCCTTGCTGCTTCCAGCTGACATGCTGCATTTATTCCACAGACAGGAAATACTGAAATATGTCACAAAAAACACGCTTGAAAGAAGAGACGGTGTGGTTTTCTCTACGCTGTGAGTCTCGTGCGAAAACCTGACATCTGACTCGCATTAACAAACATTTTAAAAGTTGTTTTCCTTTTTCTACTGGTAGAACAAATGAATTAGTTTCACTTGCCCTCGCCTGGATTCTTGAAAGACTCGGAAACTTGAATGAGAAATATGAAGTTTTTTCATCTTTGCAGCGCCTTTTCTTCCCTTCTCTCTTTGCATCTGCAAATAAAATGTTTCTTCTAGTTGCTTAAAGCTGGGGTCCATAGCATCATTTTGTGCATTCACACAAAAATAGGCTCATAGTTACTACCAAGTCATGTTTTTGACATGTTCCTGCTCAGACACACCTGCTTCTCCTCAGCCGTCATCAAGTTCTGCAGGAACTGCGGAACACTCGTTTTTATCACATCTGCAGTTTTCAAGCAGGAAAACATCTAAAACAAGCAGGAATCCAGCACTCGTGATGCTAGCTGATAGGGATGGGTACCGAATTCGGTACTTTTTAAGGTACCGACCGAATTCCATAGTACCGACTGAGCACCGATTCACGTCATTTGAAACGGTGCCTCGTTTCGGTACCCGTCCTTCATAAGGAGAACTTGTCTAGACAGCTGCGCATGCGCAAGAGCGTTATGTCGTCGGTCGCTGCGAGCGAGTTGTAAACAGAGCAGCATGGTAGAAAGAACGCACGCTAAAGCTTGGGTCCACTTCACTAAATGTGATGGGTAACTGGGTGATGATGAAACCAGCGACAACGATCTAAGTGAGACATCCTCATCTTAATCTGCTCCGGTAGGTAAATAAAATGTTTAAGATAACGTTAGCTTGATATGTTAGCTTCCGTTTTGCTAATGGTGCGTTCGCTTTTTCCTCGGAAATTCTAACTTCCCAGTAGGAAAAATCAAATGAAAAAAGACAGCAAAAGGAATGAAGATACACAGTAAATTTAGTTCACAGTAAAGATGTTTGCTTCAGTTTAATTATCAGCTTATAAAACTACAAGGACGATGTTAAAATACAAACAGTTGAATGTTATTTATTGTGATATTTATCAAATATGGTTATATATTGAGAAAAATATATATTTAATTATAAAGGAGAGTTAATAATAAACACTCAAAAGTATCTAAAATTGGTACCGTTAAGTACCGGTATCGATTCCTAGGTACCGGCAATTAGTACCGAATCGATTCAAATGTCAAAGGTACCCATCCCTACGTAGCTGATGCTACAACAGGCTAAATCAATAGTCTGATAGCATGAGGTTGAACACTACGCTAATCCCTTAGCTCTGATACAAACAGGATTTATCCACAGTTAGCTTGAAGCAGTGCAGGTTGAGTTAGCATTCAAGCTAGGTTGGCTTGCTAAGCTGACTGTGCATCAGTGCGTCACCCCGCAGTGCATGCTGGGAACTGGGATGCATTCTCATTGACCGATAGCGCTCTCTTGTAGATACGCAACTCTACTGGCCAACACTTTCTGTAGAGGCCAGGGGAGGAGATTTAAATCATGAAAGAGAACCGACTTTATATCATAGATTAGCATTTTTAAGCATTTTTTAAATGTTTTCTTTATAGTTTTTAAACCATGTACCCCAGCTTTAAACTATAAAAGTAAGTGGTAACATGTTGCATGCTGTTTTAATAGGTTGCATTATAGGTCTGCCTGTTTTATTGTAACGAACTGGCATCACTCCAGAGACCTTTTTATATTCTCTCCCTCCGTTTGTGTTGTCCTCATTATATCCCCTCCCCTTCTATCCTTTCCACTCTGACTCATTTATCCAGCGAGTCGTCCTTGAGGCAGTACAGCATTAGGCAGGTTGTTAACACGGGAGAAAAGGGCGTTCAATGTCATGTCACTGTGTCGCAAAGGCTGACAGAGCAGGCGACTGGCCCGTCTTCTCCAGGAAACAAATACGCCGCCAACTTCCTTTTTAAGAGTGTAATGGTCTGGATATTACATTTCCTATGGGACATTACAGTCTACGGATAATAAATCCATTCTGCAAAGTGTGTGTGTGTGTGTGTGTGTGTGCATTTGTGTGTGCAAGCATGCATCCGAATGAGCGTCGGATGTGTGTGTGTGCCTGCATGTGTGTGTCATCTGGCTTATTTGATACTCGTTGGTGGAGGGTTTATGTGCACGGTATGAGGCAATCTGTCCCCTGGAGAGAAAGCCATCCACCATCTCTGCACATCGTCAGCTGGAAGCAGCCAGGCAACAGTAAATCTCAATTACTTAAACCCTTCTTTCCACTTCACGGCCCCAGCCACTCCCTTGCCACAAAGCGACAATGGGCTCAACTGACTTTTTGCTGTTGCGTTCCAAGGCTTACCATTGGCTTCTGGTTGAGTCTGAGAGGGCACGGCCACGTACGGGTCCTCCCCTTTGTCTGAGCTCATGGGGGGGTCCTTCCTCTCCACCATGCGGCCCCGCCCCAGGGGGCCCTCTGCGGCCTCGGGGAGGGCCGGGGTGGGAAGTGAGAGAGTGTGATGATGGTGATGGTGGCCTGCCGGACACAACACAGGTTAGCTTATGCTTCGAGCCTACAAGCACAGTCCATCTGGGGTGCTCACACACTCACACACACACACACACACACACACACACACACACACACACACACACACACACACACACACACACACACACACACATTTACTTCTCTGATGAATGGTGTACACACTTCCACCCACACAGCTGCCACCATGTGTGAGTTAACACGGCGTTTCCCATGTGACCCGCAGCTACTCATTAGCAAACACACGAGTATTTCTAATGATCAACATGTTTCCTTTTCTGTCATTCTCTGCGTTTCCGTCTGTCTTCCTCCTCTTCTGATTGACACGTCACATCTCTGCACGGGCCTGTCAGCTCATAATTTCTCCGCGGCACTCACAGGGTGCCTGCCTCTCATATCTGGGACTAAAGACAAACTTTTCCCTCACCGATCCCGTCGACAGTCCTGCCTCTGACTTCTCTTTGACAACAAAGTGCTTCAAACACGGCACTTTTCCCTCTTGTTCTTGTTTCAGATCAGTTGAAGTGGTTTTCTGTGGTTGCGGTGTGAACATTTAGTGTCTTACCGGTTGTTTGACTAACCTCAGTCTGAAGAAACAGGGATTAGTTCTGTCCAGATTGATGGGCTTACGGTTAGTCATACCTGAGCCAGTTCCAGACTGAATTACCATAATCAAAAATAAACTCTAATCTCATAAGAAATAATAATCGTGTTTTTTTAATGTAAAACTGAAGCTAATTTCAATGGTTAAAATGGTGTAAAAAGCTTTAGCATAGCATCATTTTTGCGATTATTAGTTGATTTGAGCTGACGTGCCTCTCTGTGATCAGCCAGGCAATTTGGTTAAAATAAAACAATTTCTTTAAACTTGTGCCATTCAAAGAGCTACCAACAAGAGGCAAAATATGAATTATTCATAACTCTTCCATAGAAGATATTTGAACTATCCCTTTAAGCTTCCTTTGAGTCTAAATGTTTAACCCGTTAAGCTGCACTGTTCAGCACACTTTGATGCTCAATTCTCCCACTTTATAAAATTATAAAGTTTACATTACAGATGAAAGAAGTGGGTCAACAGAAAAATGCAGTAAATCTACAAATTTTTCAGAATAAAAGCCTACGGTGTCAGGTTCTAAACTGTGATCGTTTGCAGCTTTTCTGCATCTCACGACGCTTCTTTTGTAACGTGACGATGGAGCTATTTCCATCAAGGTTATTGGCGTCTGTTCAGACCCAAGCCTGGGTCGGTGGAGCTTTTATTCTGAAAGGAGCTGTTGTTGCCGCTGGTTGTTATAGCGACTGGATTTTTCAGCTTGTCGTTGGTCCTTTCGGTTAAAGAGTACAAGGTCAGGATTGGCCACTCCGTTGCTGGCGTTAGAGCTGACGTGGCGTAGTTTTATACCTCGGATGTTATGGTCTATTGTCGAATGAAAATTACCAAACACCGTCAGAAGCACGCCTCCGTCAGATCTGTAAGATTCTGATTGGATCAGTGAAAGGAATGTGTTGTGTCCTTTTAACACTACGTGAGATGAGTCTTGTTGGAATCCTTAAAGTCAGAGTACTTATTATTTCTATAGATCATAATAAACTAGGGCTGCACAATACATCGAAAAATTATCGTCATCGCGTTAACAGGACGTGCGATAGGCCCATCGCAAAGCACGTCAAAAACAGCGATAAATGTTTGGTTCAAACATTTCCATCCATGTCATACATCAACTTTTTGTAAACCAGCTCTGTTTTTTACGCGGAAGTATCATTTGACCAATCAAATGTAGCCCTTCTGATATGCGGCCAATCAGATGGGTCTGTTCACTTAATACGCCCGCCCCCTACGTAGACCCTTAGGATGGGTGAAACGCAACACCCGAACTGAGTTAGCGGCGCCGTTCCCTTGTTCGTCATGCTGGCTCAGGTTAACGAACACACTTTGTGCTGAGGTTTCTGGAATCAGCGCTGCTTTCAAACGTTAACGAGTCCGCTCGGTGTCGTTAAGCAGCTGATAATAACCGGGCTGACTCCGACACGTGCCGGTGAACCAACCCACCGTTAGCCCCAGGCTCCGGTTAGCTTCCAGCTAAAAGGCTACAGCACTCTCCTCCCAGTCCCACCCTGCTAAAGAGGGCCTGGAAAAGTTCCCACACACATCAAAGTGATTTTTCATTTATGAGCTTTTATAACCTTGTTAATCAGGATAGTTGATTTGCTGCTGCACATAAACTGTCAATCAGAAGCTCTGCTAGCCGGTTATCTTAGAGGAGCTAGTTCACTTTGTTAGCTTGTTATCAGAATCATAGTTGCAGTTTCACCATCTGAGCTGCTTTTTAAGATCTAGGTAAACTTGTTCAATTTGGGGTTAAAAACAAACGTTTTCACATATTTTCCATGTAGTTTTTTTTGTTGCCAGTTCGTCTTCTGAAAGGTAGACAATTGTTTTTCTCTTTCCCTCAGAAAATCTTAATATTCTCCTAGTTTGGCCCAGCACAGTTCACTTCCCAACAGCAGCAACAGCCTTATATCATAACCACATAAGTGGAGAAAATGTTCAGTAGCAATGAGAGAATTTGCTGTTGCATTTAAGTGATGTTAACTATTATTTAACATTTAAACTTATTTTCTGATATTTTTATTTATTCAGAAAACCCTGGTAAGGGATGTTTTTCTGTATTTGGAGCATCAGAAAAAGTTTTATGGTGGAGGTGATGTTTTAAAGTCACTGAGAAACTGCATGCATGCAGTTTGTTGTTTTGCTGCTAATACAGCAGCAGGTGCAGCTGCTAATATAGCAGCAGGTTCAGCTGCTAATGCAGTAGCGGGTGCAGCTGCTAATACAGCAGCAGGTGCAGCTGCTAATACAGTAGCAGGTGCTGCTGCTAATACAGTAGCGGGTGCAGCTGCTAATACAGTAGCGGGTGCAGCTGCTAATGCAGTAGCGGGTGCAGCTGCTAATACAGTAGCGGGTGCAGCTGCTAATGCAGTAGCGGGTGCAGCTGCTAATGCAGTAGCGGGTGCAGCTGCTAATGCAGTAGCGGGTGCAGCTGCTAATACAGTAGCGGGTGCAGCTGCTAATGCAGTAGCGGGTGCAGCTGCTAATGCAGTAGCGGGTGCAGCTGCTAATGCAGTAGCGGGTGCAGCTGCTAATACAGTAGCGGGTGCAGCTGCTAATGCAGTAGCGGGTGCAGCTGCTAATGCAGTAGCGGGTGCAGCTGCTAATGCAGTAGCGGGTGCAGCTGCTAATGCAGTAGCGGGTGCAGCTGCTAATGCAGTAGCGGGTGCAGCTGCTAATACAGTAGCGGGTGCAGCTGCTAATGCAGTAGCGGGTGCAGCTGCTAATGCAGTAGCGGGTGCAGCTGCTAATGCAGTAGCGGGTGCAGCTGCTAATGCAGTAGCGGGTGCAGCTGCATATTTTTGCAATAAAAATGTTATGTTGTAATGGAATTCATGCATTAGTTTTTGTTTGCTTTGAACCCAGAGCAGACGTCACACGCCCGACGACATCAACACTGCATACTTTAGTATTTGTTCATTTATCGTGAGTAATATCGATATCGCAATATTAAGCACTGTTATCGAATATCGCAGGTTTTCCTAATATCGTGCAGCCCTATAATAAAGTAATTAAAGTAAATAAAGTGTTTGGTAATTTTCATTTGACAATAGACCATAACATTCGAGGTATAAAACTACGCCACGTCAGCTCTAACGCCAGGTCAAAGCGTTCCAGAGCAAGCAACGGAGTGGCCAATCCTTACCTTGTACTCTTTAACCGAAAGAACCAAGGACAAGCTGAAAAATCCAGTCGCTGTAACAACCAGTGGCAACAACAGCTCCTTTCAGAATAAAAGCTCCACCGACCCAAGCTTGGGTCTGACCAGACGCCAATAACCTTGGTGGAAATAGCTCCATCGTCACGTTACACTTTGTACCTGACTTCCTGTCACAATAAATGCAGCTTTGTCTCAGAAAAGTTCGATCTTCTCTGAATTTTTGCACCTTTTTTAACTAATAAATCAGTTTTTTGTAAATACATGAATGCATACATCATTTGAGAGTGGGTGATTGATCATGCGTCTCATTTTAATTAGACACATCGTTCACTCAGACCGTTGTTCACCTTTTTCTGTTTCACTTCTTTCAACGGCAAATTTTGCACACAAGCTTCATCGGACTCCTTTTTGAACCATGACAATCGCATTAGCATCCCACACGCTGACAGTTAAGCCACTCACGCTATATATTCTATTTAACATAATGTATTTAAGCCAAAGAAGAAAACGCTCCCCTCATTGGTGAGTGACAAGACTTTTATCAACACTCTCATGTGGAGCTCAACCCCCAGACTCCATTTTGACAAGCGCTCCCTCTCCACGGAGGAGGCGACTGCATGTGAGTGTGTGTTTGTTTGGGGACGTGCACATCCAGTGTGTGTTTGAAGACGGTGAGGCGACGCTGGCAGACTACATTTAATAGATCCCCGCGCAGAACACCAGTCAAATCCTCCTCCTCTTCTGTTTGGCGTGGCAATCATTAAAATGATTTATTTAACTACCGGCCCAAGGCTGAGAGATTAGTGCGACAGGCCTATTTTATAACTCGTTCCCCCCACCACCGGGGGAAGTGCAATTTAGGCAGATGACACACATAGAGAGCGCTCAGAGCTCCTCCACGGATCAGGAGGAGCAAATAAAGTCGACCGATGATCGCCCTCTCTTTTTACTCGTTAGAAGAGATGCAGAGACGCCCACGTCGGAGCATAGCGTCTGTGTGAGGTCGTGTGCACAACTGAAAACACACAGCCAAGCCTGTGGGAGCGTGTTCGACACTCTAGGTGGAGAAAGGAGGGGTGCGCCAGCACAGATGCTTTTCCGATGACCCCGGATCTCCAAAAACAGGGAGAATAATGCTGGGAGAACGGCCACAGGGGAGTTTCTGGGTGAAAGGGCTTTCTGGAGAGACTTCAAAATATCTATTCTGGTCATTCTGTGTGGATCTGATGGTTTTGATCTGGCAGCTGCAAGGCACTGTATGCATGTGAGTGAGAGAGATCGGAGTGAAGTTCAATAGCATACAGCCAAGCTAATGCACCCTCGGATTGGATAAATAACAACAGGTGTGTGTGTGTGTGTGAGCGGAAATGTTGGTGCTGCAGGCCAATCACACCCGCTAAAGAATCAAGAGAAAGGGGTTGTTTTGATTTTGAGTGCTGCTGGGAAAGTTTGTGTCATGATACTCGAGTCTGAATTGTTTGCAGCAACACTCAAAACTGGGTTAATATTTCCTCCATATTGACTTTTGCTCTGAGAGGAAATTCCTCCCGATCAAAGCTTTTAACCACCAACAACCAGGTCCGTCCAATTAACAAAGGAAAGGTCACAGACGATCAATGCTACTGCACAAGAAGGGGGAAGGAAATCAAGGTTGCAAAGAGGAAAACGGAAGAAAAGACATGAAACTAATAGAACCTGAATGAAAGGAGAAAGGTTTCTACCTCTATAACCTTTATTTAAAACACTAAAGGGTCTAGATGGGGAGAAATACTATACGAGCGTGAAAGTGACCGACTTTCATTACCTTCGTAACCAGAAGCGTTGTCTATCAAAAAAGAAGGAATGGAATCAATTCAGTTAAAACCCCGAGTCATTAATAACCTGTCCTTACACGTGTGGGAGGAGTTTTAATTTCCTTGAGAGGGGATGAGTCACTGAGTAGATGAAGAGGTGGGGCTGAAGTTGGAGATTTTAAGGGAAAGTGATGGAGCTTATATGACTGCCAGTGTGGGATACTTACCATTCAGAGCCACAAATGTATCTGAAAGAAACAGAGGGGAGCGAAGGGAAAAGCCGTTATTTGGAGCAATAAAAGGAGCTTCTGTGTGCTTAAACATGACGAAAAGCCGTGACTTTTCAGGTAATTCAGACTAGACTGGCAGGTCGATATTCTCCACACTTCTAATCAGAGGGGATTTATCTGGCCTCTACGTGATGGAGGTACAGCGCTCCTGGTTGCCTTCACTAAAAATACCAGCGAGAGCGAAGGGAAATGGGCTGCCTTTATTCAGTAGGTGATTTACTGAGTCATTTAACTTTGAATCGTTTAGAAGTTTAGTTTCTAAATTCTGCCGCTTTGTCAAAAATCTAAACGTGGCATCGCTCTTGCAGATCCAAACAGTAAAAGGACATGAAAAGATCAGAACCACCATCCCAAACAGGGGTGGACTGGCCTATCTGGCATTCTGGCACTATCCCGATGGGCCACTTAGCCAAGCTGGGCTGCTTGCCCAGCTTGGGCCGACACTACTCCACAGTTGGTGATTTGCAGAACATTAGCTACATGGTAAGCCGAAGCTAACAGAGTTTTTCCAGGCGTTTTTAGCAAGAAAAACGTGGTAGAGCGATGATGTAGGAGTTGTTTTACCGCGTTAGCATGTAGCTAATGTCCCGCTTATCTCCGCCCATGGAGAATGAGCTTATCTGGAAGGCCAGGGCTCCCGGTCGCAGCAGTCTGGCCCTGCTTGTAATTTAACAGTCCCAGTCCATAATTAGATCTCACAATCAGCCTAGAGACGAGTCTGCGGGCGGCAACACCCCCCACCCCCACCGCTCTCCCAATGGGGAGGGCCGACGATTCGTAAAAATGCCAGGGCCAAGTTTTGGTCCCAGTCCACCCCTGATCCCAAAGTGAGAAGAAACCATTCGTGATGAGAGGCTGGGTTCGTCTGAAGTCTCCGCTTGCTTTTCTTTTTAAAAACTCGGTCCTCTGATTTCTCACATGGAAACTCTGCCCCCGTCTGAACGTTTGTGTCTCTGAGAAAACTTGCAAGAAGGAACCCAGTTTTTGCACCGAAGAGCTCAACGTTCCGTTGACCGGGGCGACAGAGACGCAGCGGGGAAAGGACGCGGGAGGACAAGAGCTGATGGGGACAGATGGATGGAAGATGCTGAAAGAGAGAGAGTTTGTGGAGAAGAAACAGACGGGAGAGGAAAAGGTGATGGTAGCAAAAAGAAGGAAATGGGGAGAGGAGTGGTGGTGATGGGGGGTGGAGTAGAGGAGGAAAGATAAGAGTGAAGAGGGCCTGCTTACTTTGGCAGTCTCCCAGGCCATCTGTGTTACCACGCTCCACGTCCTGCTCAAAGGCGGATCTGCAGGGAACAAAGACATCATGGTCAGCAGCGGAAAACAGGCCATGCAGGCTCGCCACACCTAGCAAGGCAGCAGAGCTGTGGGAACCATGATAGAAAAAACACCATCAAAGATAGCATACGCTAAAAGCTGCTGAAGCCCATCAGCTGGCTTAAAATCAAGGAACACCTGCGCCGGTGCCCTGGAGATCGGGAAAAGTGCAGTCCAGACCGGCTAGTGAAAGGATTTGTTGTCAACAATGATGAGCAAAGTTTGATTCATTTAAAAATATACTTTATGGCTTTTAAAGGTCAAGTTTACTCGTGTTTTACTCGCATTTGCAGCGGTCTCTAGTAGTAAGGTGTTACCTGGGGGGGGGAGCTGAGCTGTTAGAGGACGTAGACGTCAGCTGGAGGAGAAAGTGGCAGCAGACAGCAGAAATTCGAGTCTATTTCCTGATATTTGGAGAACTCTCCCCTGATTGGCTAACATCAAAAGAACTCTGCCACTGACTCGGTTTGCTCTCAACATTGGTGCTTTATCTCCACAAATAACACAAGCCTGGAGGAGTTCTGCTGTGTGGTGGAGCTGCTAATGGTTAGCTTCGACTGTCTCCTGGATGCTAAACTAACAGCCTTCTCTGTCACGAGCCAAGACGGGCGAGTCCATGACTGTTAGGTTACAGCGTGGCGTAGAACTGTCAGGATTTTCTGAACCGTCTATTTTCTATCAGAAGCCAATTTAGGAAATAGGGGTGGAATACCATTTTCATGCTGAACTCGTCATTTTCAAAAATAATAACCTGCTCTTTAAAACAGATCAAAGTAGACGTGATTTTATTTAGTAAATATTTACATCCTAACACCCAGTTATATTAACCCTAGCACAAGTTTACGATAAATGACCCTTTCAGAGTCAGAGGACTCCAAAGCGCTTTACACTACAGTGTTGTCATTCATCCATTCACACACACATTCACACGATGATGAAGAGCTACGATGTAGCCACAGCTGCCCTGGGGCGCACTGACAGAGGCGAGGCTGCTGAGCGCAGGCGCCACGGGCCCCTCCGACCACCACCAGCAGGCAGGGTGGGTTAACTTGTCCAGACAAGCCGCCCATCCTCCTGAGCTGCTGCTGCCCCTGATGCTTTAAGGAGCATCCCACATGAAACACTAAAATAAAGCAAACTTTTACTTTAATTAGAATTTTTTTATCAAAAAAATACCCAACACAAAATTTAATTTGAGCAAAAGGAAGCTGATCTAACAACCAGAAAGCCGTCATAAGCACGTGCTCCTTCTTTCAGCACTTTTCTGTTCGGCCTAGCAGCAAAACATTTCTGCTTTTAGCTTCAAATTTCTTCAAAACAAACCAGCGACTCGTTTTCTTACGTAACCGTTTGCAAGAAAGCAAAAAGAAGCTTCTCCTCCAACTCATTTTAGGAGTATTTGACATCATGTCATCTTTTCTCCTTGTACCACTTCATCTGACTTTATGTAGCGTCACTTCAGAGGAGAACCGAGTGTATAGTTACAATCACGTGGGCCGCGAGCAGAGCGGTGGTGGGGTAGCCATGCTTGAGGGCCATCATATGACACGGAAGGAGAGAGTTTTGGATGTGCTATTTTCTGATGCAATCTGCACAGAGACCTGTTTTCTCCCCGAAAGACCACCAAGCAAGCTGTAAGGAGATCGGTGAAACGGAGCAGACCAACTGTCAACCAGGATTACGGTCACGCATGACAGTTTTTCACATTCCACCTCGGCTCTCTCCTCAATACCTCTCCTCCTGTACACCCGCCTCTCCTTTCTCCTCACCCTCCACTGGTCACAATCAGAGCAGAAACGGGGATTATTTTCCAAAACACGATCAGACATCCCTTGTGCTCTAGTTGAAGGGAAAACTGCGGACCTCACAGGGGTAGGAGATTTTGGAAAACTAGATTTCTGTTGTTTGGTATTCTGGGTGTATGGAAAGGTCAGTTTACACAAAGCCATTATATCACGGGGCAACCGCGGCTAGTGGGGCGATGGAGGTGGAGGGGTTAGGAGTTTACCCTGCATCTAGTGGGTCACCCGTTTGAACTGGGGCTCTGTAAGTGTCAGTAACTCGGTCCTGGGGCAAAACACCTCACCCTCCTTGCATGCTGGTGGTGGTTGGAGGGGACGGTGCAGCATTAAGAAACATGAATTTATTAACAAAACTCTTTCCCAACACTATGTGAAAGAACAGAATCGATAAAGAGATGCAATATATAGTGGTCGAGTGGTATTGCCGTAGTACTATTACATTAATAACATATTTCGGTCAGCATACTTCCATCTACGTTCCATAAACTGTCTCCGCCCCTCCCTTACCCCTCACACTGCCGCCATTCTCGTCCACAGCCTCGTCACCTCCCGTCTCGACTATTGCAATTCACTTCTTTATGGTCTCCCCAACAAACTCCTTCATAAACTGCAACTGGTCCAGAATTCAGCAGCCCGTATTATCACCAGAACCCCTTCCTTTCACCACATCACCCCGGTTCTCCAACAGCTTCACTGGCTCCCAGTTAAATTCAGGTCCATCTTCAAAATTCTCCTCCATACCTTCAAAGCCATCCATAACCTCTCTCCTCCATATATCTCAGACCTTATAAGTATTCACGCCCCCTCCCGTTCTCTCAGATCTTCTTCTTCCATCCATCTTGCTGTTCCTTCTGCCCGTCTCGCTACCACGGGGAGCAGAGCTTTCAGCCGCTCTGCTCCCCGTCTCTGGAACTCACTTCCCCCAGACATCAGGAACATCGACAGTTTTACCCTTTTCAAAACCAAACTCAAAACACACATGTTTAAATCTGCCTATGACCTCTGATTTTATTGAACTGTTTCTCTCTTTGTTTTTTCTTCTTTGCGTTTTATTGTGGCTTTATTGCTGTTTTAATGTGTTTTCTGAACGTATTTTCTGTCAAGTGACCTTGGGTGTTCTGAAAGGCGCTTTTAAATAAAATGTATTATTATTATTATTATTATTATTATTATTATTATTACGATGACGTCATCTGCTGGCGCACGACTCCGAGCAGATCTAGAAACTACAAAAGCCAGAAAACCACAATCTGCATCGCACTCTCTCGATGGAATTAACAGAAGAAGTATCACATTGTAGAGAATAACGTGGGAATCTTTACCAAAGGATGTTGGGAAGCACTGTCCTGCTATCATCGTCATCCTCATCATCACTTTATTTATAAAGCACTTTCCAGCATTCTCAGAGAAGCACCAAAGTGCTGTAATAAAACAATTCCCGTCACAAACAGCCGACTCCATAAACACACCGTATCACGTTATCAACTCATAGCTCGTGACATCCTGACCCATCTGGTCTGGTTGTTACAGTTGTCAGAAAAGATTCTGTTAAAAAAAAACCTCCAGTTGATCCAAAATGCTTATCAGACTCCTCTTTTGGGGAACAATCTTCCTGTTTCCATCCATGATCGAATCCACAGTCTACACTGCCATGGGCTTAGGTTCTAGAGAACATGGTGACCACATTTCTTCACTCCACTATCTTCCCTCTACTAGGCAATTTGTTCCTGCAATGAGATTCAATGTACTGGACAGGAGATGGTATGGTGAGGATTTTTCACCATTAAGTGCTCTACAAAGTCCAACACAACAACAATAGCATCATTCCTTCATATCGAGGGGTTCCGTTAAGCACCTTATCCGATTTGCTGATCCTACTCATTTATAATCACTAAGTAGAACCAGAGTTGCAAAACTGAAGCTAAAGGACCTTAACCCCAATTCACATGGCAGGACTTTTTCATTGATCACACACACACGGTGGTAAAAAGTAAAGGATGTGCCAGTGTTGGTCCTACAGTGTGTGGTGTCCAGCAACACAGCAAAAATGACACATGAACCGATTTCACACATGAGCAGGTTAGACGGGAAATCATGCAACTCCTTTACGTCAAAGTAAACAAACATGGCGGAGAAAGAGCGAGCCGTATGTGTCCATCTCCTTGCTTTCTGATTGGCTACACATCACATTCAACAGGCCAAGACAATTCAGCATGTTGGAAATCCCCAATTCACAATTAGTGGTGCGAACGTCCCTCCTAGCAGACCAGAGCCCTCTTAACACACCACACATGGCAGGAATTTGTGATAAGATCATCCACTGTGGTGATCAGACACGTGCTTAAAATTGTGGGAAGAGGGTCAGGGTTTACGGTAAAGCCGGGCGTACACTGTGCGACTTTTTCACTCGTAGCACTCAGCTTCAGCTCAAACTGCACGACTTCCTCGCAGGGCAGATCTCACGAGTCATGTGCTCACACTGTACGACCCAGTTCTCGGATGCGACCTGACTGCTCACACTGTACGTCTGGTAGCAACACGTCGGACCTAAAATATGCTAAAAATAGCAGTTTTTACTCAACACGTCAGACTTTTTTGTCTTGCGTGTTGTCCTTCGGGAGTGCTGCAGGGGGACACACAGGGATTTATGGGGATTGGATGAGGAAAACAAAATAAAGAAAGTAAATCTGTGTTATGTGATCAGTTTAATTTGACATGAACACGACAAACACGCTTTCTTGACAATCTTTGTGAGTAAAAAACGTGTAGAAATAAAAACGAACAACGTGTGTTATTAGGGAAATAGCGGGCGAGCGGTATTGATGCAGGACTGCGCATGCGCCGTGTGCAGTTCTGATACTTTTTGGGTCGCAGCTGCTCGCAGCGCCGCTTCCAGCGATACCCTCACGAGGGACGAGCAAAATATTAAACACGCCAGAAGTCCGTGCGAGCTCACGATTGCTGATCGGTAGCTGGTCACGTGGTGTTAATGGCCTCTCGTAACCCCCTGTACACTACACGACGCTCAGCGCTAAACTCGCCCCGATCTCGTGGATTCTCGCACGAGTGGAAAATCGGCTTAACACAACAAGCTGTATTGAGATAAAAATACAAGGCTGAAATCCCACTGGCCTCTAGATGAATTAACAATGAGCATTCACTGTACA